GAATAATGTGTAATCCAACCACTCACACCAGGATCAGATGCTTCTAAAGCTAAATTAAAAAATAAGACTAAAAGCAACGGTGTTCCCAGGTGACTAAGAAGTAGCCCAGTAGGATCATTAAGAGCATCCCTGTATAATGAATTTTTTATGAAATTAATATAAATTGCTAAGTAAAAAGAATTACATTTAAGAAAGGCGCAAACAACATACGTAAAGAAAGGTACCAAAATATTCAAGAAATCATCAACGCCAGGAATCCCAGTATATTTTTCCTTATGGGTAGATGGATCCGGCCAATAACTTACTACCTGAGTCTGTAAAAGTATAACCAGAAGAAACTACAGTAATTATTTTCAACTTTTGAGATAAAAATTTAGATCATATAAATATATGATACTTCGAATAAGTATCCATTTTGTGGTCTTTAGTGCTAAACCTTTTGGGAGCAGTTTTTAAAATTTCCGAATTATGCTACTGTAAATTTATCACGTGATATACGATGGTAACCAACATGTAATGAATTTCACGAATTTCGCAGAATATTAACAAATAATGGTAATAAATAATATACGGTATCAAATAAAAAAAAAACCCCCATATAAGTTTTTCAATCCAAACTTTGCAAATAAGATATATAAATTTATAACAAGTTAAACTATTTTATTTTTTATTTATTTTAAGCTTTATTGAATTTATTAGATACCACCTGTACTTGAGATTACAAAGTAATTATATAACTTGTTATCTTTTAATCAAAAAACTAATGTACCTAATATGTTTTTCATACTGATTATTATTTGATTTTATTTGGATTTTTTGTAAAAAAATAAAATAAAAAATAATTAAAGATAATTGAAATTTCAAAAAGTATTAAACTGGCATTAAAATAATATTGAAATAATATTGATCTATAATAAATTTAATATATGGATTATAACTATATATTTTCTTATTATTATAAAAGAAAATTTAATTGACAATATAATTTTGAATTAAATATAATTTCAAATTATTTATTATATATTATTTAGTAATTTGACATAATACAATTTTAGATTTTAATTCTATTATATATATAGTTATAATTTACATATATGAATTTATAATACAATAAATTTAAGTATTAAATTAATATTAAAATAATATCAATATAATATTATTAAAAGTTCTAAAAATAATATTTTCTTTAATAAATAAAATTCCTTTTAATTTTATTAATTTTATTAAAATTATTTTTTATTACTAAGGCTTCTAAATAATATTACTTTAATATTAGTTCAATATTTAAATTTACTATAAATTTATATAAGTAAATTACAAATCATATATTAAATTTACTATAAATCCATACTATTTCAATATTATTTCAATATTAATTTGATATTTTTTAAAGCTTTATTTATTACTATTTATAGTTAAATATTTTTTAATTAATTATTAAATTTTTATTATTATTAATTAATAGTTAAAAATATTTAAAAAATTTGTAATATTGCTTTTATAAAATAATTACTAATAAAAGAATTTTTTATAAAATTAAAATAAAATTATTTATATAATTTAGAATTTAAAAGATACTATTAACTTTTTATTATTTATAATTAATAATTTTATTCTTTGATTTAAAATTTTAAAAATCTAAAAAAATATATAGTTCAAAAAACTTTTTCTATTAATTCTCTTGTTAATCTTCAAAATAGATATTTCAAAATAATTTTATATTTTTTTATAACAAGTCTATAATATATCTTTTTTAATAATATTACAACCTAAAAACTTCAGTTTTTTTCTATTTAAATCTGCAAATCTATAATATAATAGTTAATACTTTACAGATTAGATTTAGAGTTTCTAATGGTACTGAATTTATTATAAGTTTAATATAGTAAATTACAACCCATATATTAAATTTATTATAAGTCAATATCAAATCAATATTCTTTTGATACTTAGTTTGAAATTCTAATCAGATTATAAATACTAATTCAACCTTATATTTCTTAAATCATAAAACATATTTTTTATAATATTTAAAAATTTTTAACTAAAAAGTTACTTTTTATTTATTTTTAAATATAAATAATATTTTATCTCCTCTCCCTTATCAGCACTCCAAAGAATTGGCTTTTGCCAACAGTATCACTTTCAACTTTACCAGAA